CTAAAATGGAACTGTATGAGGTATTTTAGAAAGCTAATCAGTACATTTGCATCTTTTTCTGAAATCAATTTACATTTCATCTCAAAGTGTACATCAGAAAACGTATATGTACTACATGTACTACAATTATTAATTATGAAACTTGATCCGGAGCATGGCTTGGTCTAAAGGACTATTGTCAATGAAAGGGCGTTCATTTCCATTAACGTCGATGATTACTGCAATTTACGAACAAAGAGGAAGCTAGTCTTGTATCTAACATATGTGAGGTAACATCCCCGCTGGTGCTGTCCACGTCTGGGACGAAGAGGACTTCGAGGGAGTCACGTCTTGTGTACAGGAAGGGCATAACACATGCGCAGGCTGTTGAATGTTATGCAACCTGGAGTACGAGATATGAGAAGGTAGGAACGTACAATGTTTGTTAGCAGCTGACGCCGACGAATGACTATCAAACATTGGACATCAATATAAGCAACAAAACATTTTCCATATTCCAGGGGCGTAGCTACCATTATAAAAAAAGCCCGGGTTTACACATGGTTGTTGCTAAAAAGGTTCGGTCAGTTCCCCAATACTATCTAAATATAAAGCTTTGCAACCTATCGGGTTTACACGAAAAAATTTGTCTTCCTACGCGCTTGTATTCGTACAAAATATCTGGTAATAGCAGAGTCGACTGCGTAATTTCCACAGTGTCATGAACATGTGTTTACGAACCACTATAGTAAATACTCACGATGTCAGGTGAGGTGAGGTGAAATTGGGTTTAATGTCGTGCTTGAGAATATTTCGCTCATATGACGTCGTGCATGCGCGTGTATGTGTATGTGCGGCTGCTTGTACTATAGTCTATTTGCAGTGAAAATGTACCAATGAATTTGACTTTAAACAAAAAAGTAAATAGAAAAAAAAGTGAAAATAAGATTGCGAATCCTCATAATTTTACCTTGCCAATTGAACATTAAAATCTCAGAATTTTATTCAACTTAGGATAAAAGTTGTTTAACAAACGATCATGGTGTCAAACCGCTATTATTGGTTTGTATTACAAGGGGGTATGCACATTAGATGAAACACTAGAACAAGGAGGGTTGGTCTAAGTTAACGCTCATCACATATCGCACGTGCATTTGTTTCACTGTTCCAACTACTACGCTTACCCCCCTTGTAATACAAACCAATAATAGCGATTTGAATCTATGATCGTTTGTTAAACAACTTTTATCTTAAGATGAATAAAGTTCTGAGATTTAAATGGTAGATGTGAGCATTCTAAGTATATGTACAGTTTTTGACAACAATAGACAGGCGATGACTCAACAATGGACAGATAGAAAATACAATAGCACTTCCTTGACCAGTTGATGCGATGGCAGACACGGCCAAGGGGAATGACCAATAAAGGTTATAAATGTCATACACAGTAATTAATTGCCTGACAAGTCAATGTACAATGCGGTAGTGATAAGGATGTACAGTAGTGATTAATAATACAGCTTAGCGTCATATATATATTACAATAAAGTCTCGCATGTCTTGAGTACATAGTGTTAGTGTTTAAATATTTGGACGATGGCTGTCCTGAATTAGTCCCTATAACACAACTAAGCCCGGTCTTCTAGTACCCGATCGGTTGCAACAAAGGCCATTTTGTTCAGAATCAGGGAAACAGAACGTCTTCATGGCGCCCAGTACATTATCCAGTTTTACTTGTGTTTGGCCACAGTCAGGCATATATCCATTGAACGACTTCTAACTACCCCGAGCAAAGTATTGGTGAAAACAAAAGCTCTTTTTAGAAATCAGGGGACCTAGAACTTGAATGGACATGTCTTTGACATTAAGGTCATTTTGATTTCTTCAAGCAGGGAATCGAAAACCAGATCTGTCTTCAAAACCTGAAGGAAAAATGTCTTAAGTGTGATCAATTTCGAAGCGTCGGCATCTTATATTTATTTCTTGCCTCACATGATGGCCACGTGATATTGCCGGAATATTGCTAAAAGCGGCGTAAATCCAAACTCACTCATATTCCACATCGGCAAACTTAATAATACACATATCACCTAAACTTACGGCCAAAGAAACCTTACAACTGGTTTTAAATCAATTTACTTTAAAAACCACAAACGATAGAGATGCATGAAGTAAAATATGTTGAAAACATTAAAATCACAACAAAATTTCAACATTTATGACAGACAAACAGTAACCGATTCTGGCATGACGGTTCCACTGAATTGAGGTGTAGTAGCTAATACAAGCACCCATAAGAAATTTCTCAAGTTCTAAGACAAATTACCGCACTATTACAATTTACCGCAGTATATTACATTTTACCACGTTATTACAATGTACGTCGAAGCACACACCAATAGCGTGTTTGACCACGCCCTCTACAAGACACGGAAATAGTTTCAAGCGGACAGAAAGAATCACGCCGACTCTGATGTTGTCACCTGGATGATGTCCATCGTCATTCTTCTTGGGAGGGCTTAGATCATATCTTGTCGTTTGGCTGTCGAATGTCGTCGCACACGACATCTCTGGGGTGTTTCGGTGATTTTTATCCCCCCGGTATATAATCGGTTATTTCAGCCACATAGCGACTACATTGAATTGAATCAGGACAGATTACTTTGTCCATAAATTTAAACTATCATCATCATCATCATCATCATCATCACCACCACCACCATCATCATCATCATCACCACATCACCACCAAAACCACCAAATACACACTCTTTAAATACAACAGTAGTCTCTCATACAGACCCTGAAGCAAATATATCCCAGAAAGCCCATGCAAGTCTAGAAAATGTGTCAAGTCTAGATTTCCACAGCTTCAGAAGAAAGTCTCAGGGCTCTTTTTTATGATATTTTATTTTTTAATTATGAGCTTTTTTCTGTAAAATATTTTCATTTCAGAGACTAGTTGTTAGTCTTAAACAACAGGAACACTTATACATTTATGCAGACTGGACGATGTTTTGCTTATTGTTACATATGATGCAGAAATAATGTACACCTGGAAGTAAATTTGCCTATTCAAAAGCTACTTTATTTTTACGTACGTATTAATCTATTAATACATAATATATAAAAAGATGAATTGTCTTTCTGATTTGCATTTGTTTGATGATTCAATTAGTTCCAGGACGTTTCAATATTAATGAAATAGGAAACCTTTTGATGCATTACATTTATGAGAAACATGTGTTGCGTGAGGCTTCATGGTATCTCATATTGTGATGTAGGCTCTGCATCTTCCGAACTGCCAGTGGGGGCGGTGTGGCAGCCAAGGGGTTCAACTCCCATTTCTGGTGTCCCCCGCCGCGATATTGCTTGAATATTACTAACAGCGGCGTAAAACCATACTCACTCACTACAACCCCCTTACCGTTTCGCGCCCCCGTCGTGATCAGTACGCGAGCAAACATCTTCACGCGTTCCCTTGATCGCGATAGTAGCGAATATACGCGCTGGGCTCGCGATCTAGTCTGTCATACAAACCCTGAAAAAGCTATACTCAAAGCAGCCCATGTAAGTCTACTCACTCACTCATCTCAATGGACTAGTGAGGCTCAAGCCTGCGTGGTCCCATCACTGATGTTAGATACATTTGCTCAAGGTTTTCATAAAGCCACCTCAGCTTCAAAACCTTCATTGTCTATCTTTTCAAAATAATAGGGATATGATATGTCGATGATCTGATGCTGTTTACATACCGGTCAAATTGTCAATGATACGCCACAACCAAACTGGCCAGACAGTCCCAGACCGAGACGACCGTGAGTGACCACCCTGCAAGGTGACCATCACCTACGCATTGTCCATCTGCGCAACCGGATGCTCACAGTGACGTCATCAGTATCAACAGCATTGGGTCACCACATCAGCAGGAGCACAGTGATGGGTCGACTGCTTGCTGCCGGCATCCAGACCTCTCTGCTATTTCCTGGCATCATATTAACCGAATGTGTCAGTACTGTAGTTTCCGACTCAAGTTGTTCTGGTGTGGAGCAGATAGATCCTTTCAAAGTTAAAACATTTCTCTTTTGTTGCAGTTTATGTAACAAACTGGACATAGGTTCAAAGAGGTATGTGGTTAGTTTCTGATGGATATATGAATTATATGACAAGAGGCTGAATTCAATTGTTCCAGCATATAAAGTCTACATTTCCCAGCTGGTTACGTACTTCAGAGTTTGAATGTTTTTATTTTTATTTTAATTCCATGGAGCCACACCTTTTGTTTACAGCACTGGCTTCACCATCAAAACCCTCGTCAAGTCAGTTCGTAGATTTAATGGTAGACAATCAAAGTAATTTACATTTATGTCTATCTTATGGACAGGACGTTAACTATAGGGCAGGATATGTTAACCTTGAACACTTGGTGCCATCACTGATTTTCACTGATAAATGTCCAAATCGTAGTACCCCACCACTCATACAATTCTATCTAAGTGTAAGGTCAGACAAAAAACCAAACACCAAAAACAACCAAAACAACCCCAAAAAAAAAAAACCAAACCAAAACCAAATAAAAAACCCTAAAACAACAAAACAACAACAACAAAAACAAAACACAGGAATAATGATAATAAAACATTCTAATTTGTTACAGTTTGGCAGGAGTGTTTTACATCATTACTTAACTCACTCACTCGAAACCTATGACGTTATGAAGCTAAACTTTTGTCTATGTAATCTCGGGCATGTTGTCTCAGATCCGAAGTTGGGATTTAGTGGTAAACATGTCATTCATATGATATTATTTTGCTCCACCGCTGAGAATATTTTACGAGCGATATCTGTTGGTATGTGGGAACATGATGTGGATGTATTTCCTCTGTCGACCCGGCTTTTAAGTTTTGTATTACCCTCTTTGCAAACACGTTTTCAGGTTTTTACCATTTAACCAATATTTCCAGAAACGGCAGGTCAGCTGCAGTGCCTTAATTGGTTTCTATTAAGCCGATGTATTTCAGGATATGTGTCCAGGTCGGTACAACGGACCCATGATTGCAGGCAAGGCAGTTGCTGATTACTTTGAAAGCGACAGGGAGAAGAAGAAGATTCTAGACATTGGTGCAGGAACTGGCTTCGTAGCTGAACAGGTGAGCTTACTGAATCTGGGAGGATAATACAGGGGCTCAACGTCAATGGGGAATCGCCTGAGGTTATGCCAGAATTTCATCAAAGCCACACATTGGTTCTAAATGCATGCATGCAGACATATAATATAATATTATAATATTGTGTACTTCTACAGCGCTAATTTCCATACATCAAGTGCATGCATGCTCAAAGCGCATACAAACAGACAGTTCATTATTACCCGGATAACCCGAGCTGTCTGTTAGGCGCTAGAAGGTTATAGTCACAGGACTTATCCTATCGAGTACCCATTTCAAGTATAAACTGTCAAATATATTTCCCTAGTATATTTAGTAACCCTGCGGGTTTTTTGTTTGAGAATATGGATCAGACCCGTAAGAAACCTGTGCTCAACATGTAACTGATGTTCAACAAGACATATTAAGCATAGCTTTTGTTGCAGCTGAAGTCCCATGGGTTTGTCCACATTGATGCACTTGAGCCCTCCAGCAGGATGCTACTGAGAGCCCAGAAGAAGGGCTTGTACCAGGAGTGTTATAACGAGTATCTGTGTCAGGTTCCCCTGGCCATCCCCAATGGTAAGCTGGTCCTCATATGAATAGGCTATGAAGCGGATAGGCTAAATATGTTCATATGTTGTTGTTTATAACCTTGTCAGAAGATCAAATACCACATACCATCTATTACTGCGAACTTTATGTAGTCAAGAGCGTTTCAGCTAGGTCTGAAAATCTTTGGGATATCAACATGTTTGTCGAGGGTTGTGTTCGGTGTATTTTGCTAACTATAATTATTCTCTTTATGCTATATGCTTTTGAAATGACTAATTTAGAGCAGAATGCGTTTGGTTTTGTCTATTGATTTCTTTTCAATGCAACTGACTAAACATTATTATTCTCTTGCTATCGCTTTTGAAAGTCTAAGTTATAGAAGAATGCTTGCTATCTATTTATTCTATTATGTCTGTGATATTTCTATTTTTGTGTGTTTAGCTCTGAAAATTACATTACGAGACGTTGGTTATTTGGCAGTGATGTTTAAATTTGAAATGGGCTCTGAATAACATTACAGATACATACGACTGCGCCGTCACCAGCGGCGGCATGGGAGAGGGACACATTCCTTGTTCCGGAATTCTGGAGCTGATCCGGATCGTTAAACCAGGTAAATACCAGGTCCCCGTCCCACAAAGCGATCTCAGAGCCACGACGATCGTAAGTCTATATTAAAGGTTGGGGGTTCCGATCACCTTAGCGCTACGGCGATCGTAAGTCTATATTAAAGGATGGGAGTTCCGATCACCTTAGCGCTACGACGATCGTAAGTCTATATTAAAGAATGGGAGCTCCGATCACCTTAGCTCCGATCACCTTAGCGCTACGGCGATCGTAAGTCTATATTAAAGGTTGGGAGTTCCGATCACCTTAGCGCTACGGCTATCGTAAGTCTATATTAAAGGATGGGAGTTCCGATCACCTTAGCGCTACGACGATCGTAAGTCTATATTAAAGGTTGGGAGTTCCGATCACTTTAGCGCTACGGCCATCGTAAGTCTATATTAAAGGATGGGAGCTCCGATCACCTTAGCGCTACGGCGATCGTAAGTCTATATTAAAGGATGGGAGTTCCGATCACCTTAGCGCTACGATCGATCTATATTAAAGGATGGGAGTTCCGATCACCTTAGCGCTACGGCGATCGTAAGTATATAAAGGTTGGGAGTTCCGATCACCTTAGCGCTACGGCGATCGTAAGTCTATATTAAAGGATGGGAGTTCCGAACACCTTAGCGCTACGACGATCGTAAGTCTATATTAAAGGATGGGAGTTCCGATCACCTTAGCGCTACGGCGATCGTAAGTCTATATTAAAGGATGGGAGTTCCGATCACCTTAGCGCTACGGCGATCGTAAGTCTATATTAAAGGATGGGAGTTCCGATCACCTTAGCGCTAAGATCGCGTTGTGATTTGCACTCTGTGTTGGTCACGTAATTCTTGTTCTGGTCGTGTTTTGGAGCCACACATAGCACGTTTGATACCTCTAGATAGGCATGCTTTTCTGAGGTTGTAAATAGATTGGTACAAAAAGTATTTTCTATAACTTGGACGTAGACTCGGATTGTTGCAATTCTTGGTATTCCACATAGGACCTAATATTGGCCTTTAAACATACATAATTTATATAAAATCGCAAATCAATGTGTGGATCTATTAGTTGTCTCAATCCTTGGATTAACAGTGTACATGATGGTTTTTGTACATGTTAAGTGTTAAAATAATAGTTGACATGCTCCGGACTGAAGTGGAATAGCATTGTCAATCTTGGTGGATCTTCAGAGGTTTAGGGAAATTTGAGTAACTCTGGAAGTATGAAACCCTTCAAAGGTTTAGGGAAATTTGAGTAACTCTGGAAGTATGAAACCCTTCAGAGGTTTAGGGAGATTTGAGTAACCCTGGAAGTATGAAACCCTTCAGAGGTTTAGGGAAATTTGAGTAACCCTGGAATGAAACCCCTTCAGAGGTTTAGGGAGATTTGAGTAACCCTGGAAGAGGAAACCCTTCAGAGGTTTAGGGAGATTTGAGTAACCCTGGAAGTATGAAACCCTTCAGAGGTTTAGGGAGATTTGAGTAACCCTGGAAGTATGAAACCCTTCAGAGGTTTAGGGAGATTTGAGTAACTCTGGAAGTATGAAACCCTTCAGAGGTTTAGGGAGATTTGAGTAACCCTGGAAGTATGAAACCCTTCAGAGGTTTAGGGAGATTTGAGTAACCCTGGAAGTATGAAACCCTTCAGAGGTTTAGGGAGATTTGAGTAACCCTGGAAGAAGGAAACCCTTCAGAGGTTTAGGGAGATTTGAGTAACTCTGGAAGTATGAAACCCATAAGTATGGCATTATTTAATATAGAAATAGTGTTTGAATGTACTTCATGGGTTTCCGTATTTTGTGATATATTTGGTTCAGTTAAGTCCCTTAGTTGAGCGTTTCAAGAGGCCATCCACCTTTTTAAATAAAAGCTTGTTGTAGCTTCAAGCCGTTTCTATCTTAAACTCTTCCGTTTGTGTGGATAAAACAATACAGTTCCCCCATGAGAAGATAGTTAAAAACTTCTCCGTTTGATTCATTGATAAATCTAAGGTTATAGGACATGGCAGATTTATTGCAAGGAACTCTTTCTTTTCCAGGCGGCATTATATGCATTGTAATGCGTGAGGTGTTCCTGAGAGAAGTGGATGAATACAAGGATCGACTGGAGCCCCTCATGGACTCCCTAGAGAAGGAGGGGAAATGGAGAAAAGTATCCCGAGTTATTGTTCCCAATTATTTCATAGACATAACCGGCATTGTATTTCGCTATCGTGTTATTTGACTTCACAGTGAATAGTTTCTCGCTTATCACAATATGGAACATACGCAGATAAAGATGGAGTAATGTTTAAAGAAATATAATCATAGCGTGTCCATCAATACAGTCCTTTATCAAGTAAAATGTAAACAGAAATGAGGAGATTAAATAAACATTAATTCATTCATCGTTTACTAGGATTGTAGTTTTTCATAGTTGTATGAGTTTGAGTGAGTGAGTTTACTTTTACGCCGCGTTTAGCAATATTCCAGCAATATCACGGCGGGAGTTCACTTGAAATGGGTTTCACACATTGTACCCATGTGGGGAATCGAACCCAGGTTTTCCGTGTGACGAGCGAACGCTTTAACCACAAGGCTACCCCACCGCCCCCATAGTTGTATGAACTGGTCGACTGGCGCTCTATACGAATCTACATGAAAACGTTGCTAAGTGCAATAAAGTGTTGTGTATGGGGTACAAGTTAACTAGCGAGTGGAATGGGTCTATACATCACGAGGCCAAGTTCGGGGGATTTACGACTCGACACAGCCCGTACAACCTCGTTGTACATATCAAACATCTGCTATTACCAATTATTCTAATTTCTTTCTGTTTTGTGTATGTTTGTATGTAACTGCAAAGCAGATATGTTTATGGTTACTCAGTCACATGACCGGTTCCATGGAACTCCGAAAACAGGACATTTAACATTTCCTTCGGTCAGTTCCATTTCCTGCGAAATTAAGGAATAACCTTTGGTGTTGGTATTGGTAAATATATTTAGATTGATTGAGTAGACTTTAATGTGAAAACCGTCGTCGACTATATGGCAGTTAAACCTGAGCAGACTATAAACTTGAATATACATCAAATTATTAGGCGAGGTGTTGCGACATGGGGTTTGACATCGACAACATGGTTGTACTTGGGAGTTACCTATATACATAGGGGCGTGTCTCGCTTAGAAACAGCGTTAGAAAGACATATAGGTGTATAGACCCTACCCTATTAAGGACCGTTCACAATTTATGGCTTGGGGGGTGATGATGATTTTTATGGAGAAGCATATAAGTACAATGTGAAAGTAAGTGACCTCCCCTTGCATGTCATGTACAAAAATCAATGAGCCCCTCCCCCTTCCCATATTTTTAGAGCATAAAAAAATATATAATTCAAATCTCTTTAACACCTACTAGAGTATATACCGACAACAAGCATTTTATTGAAAAACACTGCTTTGTCCTCCTTATTGTACAGAATATAATCGGTGACGTAGATGAAACACCCGGATGAATCGGTCCTGAGAAGGAGTGGTCACTCTTGGTCTTCCACTTCTGGGACGATCTTGGGTCGAAATGAAGCGGGTATATCGAGATGTGGTGCTGTGGTGTACGTTGAAGTGTCTTCCTAATGCCCAATGGTCATACTTTGGTCAGTAGTATTCAATCTTGGCATTTTTCATCTTCGTCTACGTCGTAAGTTTCGTAATGAAATGATGTATTTGGTTTGGCCTTTTATGGTCAATTTCTCTACTCATGTCCGACACATTGCAGGTGCATTACATGGAAAACAGTTTCTGCATGCACTTATCATGTATCGTTTTCGTCTTCAAACACATTCTGGGATGCGTTTGCGTGCAATACACATTAACCACGACATGATTAACGTGATTCAAACATAGGACTTGTCTTAATGACGATTGCTGTCAAAATATATCGAAATGAACTGCTGAAAACGCCATGCGTTTCTTTCTTTTGTAAGAGTGTATATCAATTTGCTTCCACAAGAGGAATATTGTATCTGATTTACGGTGTGTACGAGACGCCAATGTTGTGTTGATCATATGTTAAAAAACAACAACTGGATATCAAGGCGAGGCCTATTTCCAAGCTTGGCCAATGTTGTTGCTGCAAGGTGAATATTATTTTTACTGAAGGTATTTCTTTTACCACTACTCTAATAGTCTTTAGTACCACCGTAATTGTTCTTGCGCTGAATGCTGCCATGTATTGTGTACTCTAGTATATATGTCATGTTACACCCAGTTGCAATAGTACTCCGCGCTCAGCAGCTGGAAGTATTGCTGTAAGCTATAAAAGTCGACTGAAAAATTTATAGGGGGTTCTCACCTTCTCCTGTTTCTGATCATCTACTCAGATGTCAAATCTCCCTTTGTTTTAGACATCAGAATATGGGGGGGAGAGATTATTATATGGGTTTATAATGTTTGATCAAATCTCCTTTTGTTTAAGGCATCAGGATATGGGAGAGCGATTATAATTTGGGTTTGTAATGTTTGATCAAACTCTCTTTGTTGTTTAACGTCACACGGCGCAAAGGACGCTGAAGACCAATTCAAACGTAACTAACGTTGGTTGCTGAAGACTAGTTTTAACTCGAATCTTCATGACTTTACGAACAGGGGATGTTGAACATCAGCAAGGATACGAATCTTCCCCGAATGTTCACGGTTCCACTCCGGTGATGTGTGGTATCATCATGGTGCTACATGTACCACAGGTGGTGTGTGGTATCATCATGGTGCTACATGTACCCTGGGTGGTGTGTGGTATCATCATGGTGCTACATGTACCGCGGGTGGTGTGTGGTAATATCATGGTGCTACATGTACCACAGATGGTGTGTGGTATCATCATGGTGCTACATGGTGATTACCACACACCACCCGGGATACATCACCATGATGATACCACATACCACCTGGGGTACATCACCATGCTGATACCACACATCACCCGGGGTACATTACCATGATGATACCAAACACCACCTTGGGTACATGTAGCACCATGATGATACCACACACCACCCGGGGTACATGTAGCACCATGATGATACCACACACAACCCGGGATACATCACCATGATGATACCACACACCACCCGGGGTACATGTAGCACCATGGTGATACCAACATCGGCCGGGGCACATATAGCACCAGGATGATACCACACACCACCTGTGGTACATGTAGCACCATGATGATACCACACACCACCCGGGGTACATGTAGCACCTTGATGATACCACACACCACCTGTGGTACATGTAGCACCATGATGATACCACACATCTCCCGGGGTACATGTAGCACAAGGATGATACCACATACCACCCGGGGTACATCACCATGATGATATCACACATCACCCGTGGTACATGTAACACAAGGATGATACCACACATCACCCGGGGTACATGTAGCACCATGATGATACCACACATCACCCGGGGTACATGTAGCACCATGATGATACCACACATCACCCGGGGTACATGTAGCACCATGATGATACCACACATCACCCGGGGTACATGTAGCACCATGATGATACCACACATCACCCGGGGTACATGTAGCACCATGATGATACCACACATCACCCGGGGTACATGTAGCACCATGATGTAGCACCACACATCACCCGATACCACACACACCCGGGGTACATGTAGCACCATGATGATACCAAACATCACCCGGGGTACATGTAGCACCATGATGATACCACACATCTCCCGGGGTACATGTAGCACCATGATGATACCACACATCACCCGGGGTACATGTAGCACCATGATGATACCACACATCTCCCGGGGTACATGTAGCACCATGATGATACCACACACCACCCGGGGTAGATGTAGCACCATGATGATACCACACATCACCCGGGGTACATGTAGCACCATGATGTTACCACACACCACCCGGGGTAGATGTAGCACCATGATGATACCACACACCATCCGGGATACATGTAGCACCATGATGTTACCACACACCTCCCACAAGTAGCACCATGATGATACCACACACCTCCCGGGGTACATGTAGTACCATGATGATACCACACACCACCCGGGGTACATGTAGCACCATGATGATACCACACACACCCGGGGTACATGTAGTACCATGATGATACCACACACCACCTGTGGTACATGTAGCGCCATGATGATACCACACACCACCCGGGGTACATGTAGCACCATGATGATACCACACATCACCGGAGTGGAACCGTGAACATTCGGGGAAGATTCGTATCCTTGCTGATGTTCAACATCCCCTGTTCGTAAAGTCATGAAGATTCGAGTTAAAACTAATCTTCAGCAACCCACGTTAGTTACGTTTGAATTGGTCTTCAGCGTCCTTTGCGCCGTGTGACGTTAAACAACAAAGAGAGTTTGATCAAACATTACAAACCCAAATTATAATCGCTCTCCCATATCCTGATGCCTAAAACAAAGGGAGATTTGATCAAACATTATAAACCCATATAATAATCTCTCCCCCATATTCTGATGTCTAAAACAAAGGGAGATTTGATCAAACATTATAAACCCAAATAATAATCGCCCTCCCATATCCTGATGTCTAAAACAAAGGGGGATTTGATCAAACATTATAAACCGAAACAATAATCGCTCTCTCATATCCTGATGTCTAAAACAAAGGGAGATTTGATCAAACATTATAAACCCAAGTAATAATCGCTCTCACATATCCTGATGTCTAAAACAAAGGGAGATTTGATCAAACATTATAAACCGAAACAATTATCGCTCTCTCATATCCTGATGTCTAAAACAAAGGGAGATTTGATCAAACATTATAAACCCAAGTAATAATCGCTCTCACATATCCTGATGTCTAAAACAAAGGGAGATTTGATCAAACATTATAAACCCAAACAATAATCGCTCTCTCATATCCTGATGTCTAAAACAAAGGGAGATTTGATCAAACATTATAAACCGAAACAATTATCGCTCTCACATATCCTGATGTCTAAAACAAAGGGAGATTTGATCAAACATTATAAACCGAAACAATTATCGCTCTCACATATCCTGATGTCTAAAATCAAAGGGAGATTTGATCAAACATTATAAAAGTGCACCCAAGATGGCAATAATCGCTCTTTGTCACATATCCTGATGTCTAAAAACAAAGGGAGATTTGATCAACCATTTTAAACCGAAGTAATAATCGCTCTCTCATATCCTGATGTCTAAAACAAAGGGAGAGTTGATCAAACATTATAAACCGAAACAATAATCGCTCTCTCATATCCTGATGTCTAAAACAAAGGGAGATTTGATCAAACATTTTAAACCCAAGTAATAATCGCTCTCCTGCTGAGCGGGGATATTTTGATGTCTAAACACAATACAGGCATTCAGGCAAGATTTGATCAAACATTATAAACCCAACAACAACATTGGCCAAGCTTGGAAATAGGCCTTGCCTTGATATCCAGTTGTTGTTTTTTAACATATGATCAACACAACATTGGCGTCTCGTACACACCGTAAATCAGATACAATATTCTTCTTGTGGAAGCAAATTGATATACACTCTTACAAAAGAAAGAAACGCATGGCGTTTTCAGCAGTTCATTTCGATATATTTTGACAGCAATCGTCATTAAGACAAGTCCTATGTTTGAATCACGTTAATCATGTCGTGGTTAATGTGTATTGCACGCAAACGCATCCCAGATGTGTTTGAAGACGAAAACGATACATGATAAGTGCATGCAGAAACTGTTTTCCACGTAATGCACCTGCAATGTGTCGGACATGAGTAGAGAAATTGACCATAGCGTCCAAATATGCAGAGATTTGGTGCCATTCATACGCGCCTCTCTCCTCATCGTCTCTGGAACCTGTGTTTGTGGTATAACATGGCCACCCCTCCTGTCTATGCTCTGATAAAGTTGGGTATACTGCCCGTCACACTTGGACTGTGTCTTATATGCGAGACTGAAAGTGAGGACATTGTAAAACATCAACTCCTATACTGTGACAAGCTGGTAGAAAACAGGAACGCACTGAGCGAGCATCTGTTTGATAACGTGTCTCTTGACACGTATATGAGACTCGAAGATGCTGAAGACGAGGTTAAAATCCTCACATACCTTGGTTCCATTACTCCCGTTGTGCAGGACATGACTCTCGATAGCTGGGTTAGGTTCATGAGCATTATTGCAAAACGCATCAGTGCATGGAACCTAGCCAGCATTCTGTATTTATAAGAATAGCATGCAATGCTTTGTACATATTGCCCAGTGATCATCTGTTGCCAAGAGCTATGATTTTTTATGTTCTGTTCAATTTTTCAAATATTATTGAACTTTCTATTTTGTCACAAATGTGTGTTATGCTCTAAAGATATATACATAACTGGATGTATAACTCATCAAATCATTGGTGGAAATAAAGAACATTCATTCATTCATTCATTCATTCATTCATTCATTCATTCATTCATTTGTCTTTCTAACGCTGTTTCTAAGCGAGACACGCCCCTATGTATATAGGTACCTCCCAAGTACAACCATGTTGTCGATGTCAAACCCCATGTCGCAACACCTCGCCTAATAATTTGATGTATATTCAAGTTTATAGTCTGCTCAGGTTTAACTGCCATATAGTCGACGACGGTTTTCACATTAAAGTCTACTCAATCAATCTAAATATATTTACCAATACCAACACCAAAGGTTATTCCTTAATTTCGCAGGAAATGGAACTGACCGAAGGAAATGTTAAATGTCCTGTTTTCGGAGTTCCATGGAACAGGCCATGTGACTGAGTAACCATAAACATATCTGCTTTGCAGTTACATACAAACATACACAAAACAGAAAGAAATTAGAATAATTGGTAATAGCAGATGTTTGCTATGTACAACGAGGTTGTACGGGCAGTGTCGAGCTAAAAATCCCGTAAATCCCTCGAACTTTGGCCTCGTGATGTATAGACCCATTCAACTCGCTAGTTCACTTGTACCCCATACATGTATATCACAACACTTTATTGCACTTAGCAACGTTTTGATGTAGATTCGTATTCAGCGCCAATCGACCAGTTCATACAACTATGGGGGCGGTGGGGTAGCCTAGTTGTTAAAGCGTTCGCTCGTCACACGGAAAACCTGGGTTCGATTCCTCACATGGGTACAATGTGTACCCATTTCTGGTGTCCCCCCGCCGTGATATTGCTTGAATATTGCTAAACGCGGCGTAAAAGTAAACTCACTCACTCAAACTCATACAACTATGAAAAACTACAATCCTAGTAAACGATGAATGAATTAATGTTTATTTAATCTCCTCATTTCTGTTTACATTTTACTTGATAAAGGACTGTATTGATGGACACGCTATGATCATATTTCTTTAAACATTACTACATCTTTATCTGCGTAAGTTCCATGTTGTGGTGGACATGAAACTATTCACTATGAAGTCAAATAACACGGTAGCGAAATACAATGCCGGTTATGTCTATGAAATAATTGGGAACAATAACTCGGGATACTTTTCTCCATTTCCCCTCCTTCTCTAGGGAGTCCATGAGGGGCTCCAGTCGATCCTTGTATTCATCCACTTCTCTCAGGTACACTTCACGCATTACAATGCATATAATTCCGCCTGGAAAAGAAAGAGTTCCTTGCAATAAATATGCCATGTCCTATAACCTTAGATTTATCTATGAATCAAACGGAGAAAGTTTGAATTATCTTCTCATGGGGGAACGGTATTGAATGTTTTATCCACACAAACGGAAGAGTTTAAGACAGAAACGGCTTGAAGCTACAACAAGCTTTTATTTAAAAAGGTGGATGGCTCTTGAAACGCTCAACTAAGGGACTTAACTGAACCAAATAAATCACAAAATACGGAAACCCATGAAGTACATTCAAACACTATTTCTATATTGAATAATGCCATACTTATGGGTTTCATACTTCCGGGGTAACACAAATCTCCCTAAACCTCTGAAGGGTTTCATACTTCCAGGGTTACACAAATCTCCCTAAACCTCTGAGGGGTTTCATACTTCCAGGGTTACTCAAATCTCCCTAAACCTCTGAAGGGTTTCATACTTCCAGGGTTACACAAATCTCCCTAAACCTCTGAAGGGTTTCATACTTCCAGGGTTACACAAATCTCCCTAAACCTCTGAAGGGTTTCATACTTCCAGGGTTACACAAATCTCCCTAAACCTCTGAAGGGTTTCATACTTCCAGGGTTACTCAAATCTCCCTAAACCTCTGAAGGGTTTCATACTTCCAGGGTTACACAATCTCCCTGAACCTCCGACGGGTTTCATACTTCTAGATTTACATAAATCTCCCTAAACCTCTGAAGGGTTTCATACTTCCAGGGTTACACAATCTCCCTAAACCTCCGACGGGTTTCATACTTCCAGGGTTACTCAAATCTCCCTAAACCTCTGAAGGGTTTCATACTTCCAGGGTTACACAAATCTCCCTAAACCTCTGAAGGATTTCATACTTCCAGGGTTACACAAATCTCCCTAAACCTCTGAAGGATTTCATACTTCCAGGGTTACACAAATCTCCCTAAACCTCTGAAGGGTTTCATACTTCCAGGGTTACACAAATCTCCCTAAACCTCTGAAGGGTTTCATACTTCCAGGGTTACACAAATCTCCCTAAACCTCTGAAGGGTTTCATACTTCCAGGGTTACACAAATCTCCCTAAACCTCTGAAGGGTTTCATACTTCCAGGGTTACACAAATCTCCCTAAACCTCTGAAGGGTTTCATACTTCCAGGGTTACACAAATCTCCCTAAACCTCTGAAGGGTTTCATACTTCCAGGGTTACTCAAATCTCCCTAAACCTCTGAAGGGTTTCATACTTCCAGGGTTACTCAAATCTCCCTAAACCTCTGAAGGGTTTCATACTTCCAGGGTTACACAAATCTCCCTAAACCTCTGAAGGGTTTCATACTTCCAGGGATACACAAATCTCCCTAAACCTCTGAAGGGTTTCATACTTCCAGGGTTACACAAATCTCCCTAAACCTCTGAAGGGTTTCATACTTCCAGGGTTACTCAAATCTCCCTAAACCTCTGAAGGGTTTCATACTTCCAGAGTTACTCAAATTTCCCTAAACCTCAGAAGACCCACCGAGATTGACAATGCTATTCCTCTTCTCTCCGGAGCATGTCAACTATTATTTTAACAATTAACATGTACAAAAACCATCATGTACACTGTTAATCCAAGGATTGAGACAACTAATAGATCCACACATTGATTTGCGATTTTATATAAATTATGTATGTTTAAGGGCCAATATTAGGTCCTATGAGGAATACCAAGAATTGCAACAATACCGAGTCTACGTCCAAGTTATAGAAAATACTTTTTGCACCAATCTATGTACAACCTCAGAAAAGCATGCCTATCTAGAGGTATCAAACTTGCTATGTGTGGCTCCAAAACACGACCAGAACAAGAATTACGTGACCAACACAGAGTGCAAATCACAACGCGATCTTAGCGCTAAGGTGATCGGAACTCCCATCGTTTAATATAGACTTACGATCGTCGTAACTCTGAGATCGCTTTGTGGAGCGGGGACCTGGTATTTACCTGGTTTTACGATCCGGATCAGCTCCAGAATTCCGGAACAAGGAATGTGTCCCTCTCCCATGCCGCCGCTGGTGACGGCGCAGTCGTATGTATCTGTAAGGTTATTCAGAGCCCATTTCAAATTTAAACATCACTGCCAAATAACCAGCGTCTCGTAATGTAATTGTCAGGCTAAACACACAAAAATAGAAATATCACAGACATAATATAATCAATAGATAGCAAGCATTCTTCTATAACTTAGACTTTCAAAAGCGATAGCAAGAGAATAATAATGTTTAATCAATTGCATTGAAAAGAAATCAATAGACAAAACCAAACGCATTCTTCTCTAAATTAGATATTTCAAAAGCATATAGCATAAAGAGAATAATTATAGTAAGCAAAATACACCGAAAACAACCCTCGCCAAACATGTTGATATCCTAAAGATTTTCAGACCTAGCTGAAACGCTCTTGACTACACAAAGTTCGCAGTAATAGATGGTATTGGTATTTGATCTTCTGACAAGGTTAAAAACAACAACATATGAACATATTTAGCCTCTCCGCTTCACATGCCTTCACATTGAAATGAGGACCAGCTTACCATTGGGGATGGCCAGGGGAACCTGACACAGATACTCGTTATAACACTCCTCGTACAAGCCCTTCTTCTGGGCTCTCAGTAGCATCCTGCTGGAGGGCTCCAGTGCATCAATGTGGACAAACCCATGGGACTTCAGCTGCAACAAAAGCTATGCTTAATATGTCTTCTTGAACACCAGTTACATGGTGAGCACAAGTTTCTTACAGGTCTGATCCATATTCTCAAGCAAAACCCCCGCAGGGTTACTACATATACTAGGGAAATATATTTGACAGTTTATACTTGAAATGGGTACTCGGTCGGATAAGTCGTGTGACTATAACCTTCTAGCGCCTTACAGACAGCTCGGGTTATCCGGGTAATAATGAACTGTCTGTTTGTATGCGCTTCGGGTATGCATGCACTTGGTGTATGGAATTTAGCGCTGTAGAAGTACACAATATTATAACATTATATTATATGTCTGCATGCATTTAGAACGTTGAGCCCCTGTATTATCGTCCCAGATTCAGTAAGCTCACCTGTTCAGCTACGAAGCCAGTTCCTGCACCAATGTCTAGAATCTTCTTCTTCTCCCTGTCGCTTTCAAAGTAATCAGCAACTGCCTTGCCTGCAATCATGGGTCCCTTGTACCGACCTGGACACATATCCTGAAATACATCGGCTTAATAGAAATCAATTAAGGCACTGCAGCTGACCTGCCGTTTCTGGAAATATTGGTTAAATGGTAAAAACCTGAAAACGTGTTTGCAAAGTGGGTCATACAAAGCTTAAAAGCCGGGCCGACAGAGGAAATACATCCACATCATGTTCCATCATACCAACAGATATCGCTCGTAAAATATTCTCAGCGGTGGAGCAAAATAATATCATATGAATGTTATGTTTCCCACTAAATACCAACTTCGGATCTGAGACAACATGCCCGAGATTACAAAGACAAAAGTTCAGCTTCGTAACGTCATAGGTTTCGAGTGAGTGAGTTTAGTTTTAAGTAATGATGTAAAACACCCCTGCCAAACTGTAACAAATTAGAATGTTTTATTATCATTATTCCTGTTGTTTTGTTGTTTTTGTTGTTGTTGTTTTTGTTTGTTTGTTGTTGTTGTTTTTGTTTGTTTTTGTTTGTTTGTTTTGTTTTTTGGTGTGTGTTGTTGTTGTTTGTTTGTTGTTGTTTGTTTGTTTGTTTGTTTTGTTTTTTGGTGTGTGTGGTTGTTGTTGTTGGTTTTTTTTGGGGTGTGTGTTTTGGTTGTTTTGGGGTTGTTGTTTTTGTCTGACCTTACACTTAGATAGAATTGTATGAGTGGTGGGGTACTACGATTTGGACATTTATCAGTGACAATCAGTGATGGCACCAAGTGTTCAAGGGTAAACATATCCTGCCCTATAGTTAACGTCCTGTCCATAAGAAAGACACAAATGTAAATTACTTTGATTGTCTACCATTAAATCTACGAACTGACTTGACGAGGGTTTTGATGGTGAAGCCTGTGCTGTAAACAAAATGTGTGGCTCCATGGAATTAAAATAAAAATAAAAACATTCAGACTCTGAAGGAAGTAACCAGCTGGGAAATGTAGACTTTATATGCTGGATCTGGTCTATTCCTCAATATGAAAGTGCATTGGACGATGGAACAATTGAATTCAGACTCTTGTCGTATAACTCATGTATCCTCCAGAAACTAACCACATACCTCTTTGAACCTATGTCCAGTTTGTTACATAAACTGCAACAAAAGAGAAATGTTTTAACTTTGAAAGGATCTATCTGCTCCACACCAGAACACCTCGAGTCGGAAACTACAGTACTGACGACGACGCCTTCAGGAACAACAACTACCCAGCTAGACTAGTGGACCAGACCATCAAAGCAACCCTCATCCCAAGAGAAAAGACCCCACGCCAACAAACAGCTCCAGTGTTCACGACCTGCCCTGCCAGGTACAGCCAGCTATCTAGTCAGTAGATCCTATAAAGTTGGTTGGTTGGTTTGTTGTTTAACGCCACACTCAGCAGTATTCCAGCTATATGTCTATAAATAAACGAGTCTGGACCAGACAATCCAGAGATCAACAGCATGAGTGTCAGTCTACGCAATTGGGACACGATGACATGTGTCAACTAAGTCAGCGAGCCTGACCACCCGATCCAGTGAGTCGCCTCTTACGACAAGCATGGGCTACGTTATTTGCCTGATGACATCAAGATTGCAATCTACATACTGTGCTCGGTTTGATTCCATCTTCCAGCATGACGGTTGTACGTGGCCGTTCCTGACGTGATAGACGCCTCATGTCAAATAAATAGTCATGGTCTTTTTTGGACAATGATGCGTCAAATTTAGAAATAACCTCCACGTAATTTCCACTGAAACGTTTTGAAAGCTTTTCTGAGGCTTTTTCTGAGGCTTTGTATGTTGCAACCCAGATCCAACAACGTAGACGCCCTTTGAAATCCCCGTAGAAAGCACGCGGTCAATTGTTCCTTAAAAGCTGTCAATTGGACACTCCAGTGGCTGGAGCTGTTAGGATATTGCTCATCAGGAAAGGGAAACGAAAGCACACATTTTACTTTGGGATTATTTTAAATAATCAAACACGTTAATTATTTTGAAAATTGTTTTGATTGGGGCTTACAAATCACACAAAATGTGTACGTGTTGCCGAGCCAACCCCCAGATATGACGTGGACCAGCGTAGATACATTCGGTTAATATGATGCCAGGAAATAGCAGAGAGGTCTGGATGCCGGCAGCAAGCAGTCGTCCCATCACTGTGCTCCTGCTGATGTGGTGACCCAATGCTGTGGATACTGATGACGTCACTGTGAGCATCCGGTTGCGCAGATGGAGAATGGGTAGGTGATGGTCACCTTGCGGGGTGGTCACTCACGGTCGTCTCGGTCTGGGACTGTCTGGCCAGTTTGGTTGTGGCGTATCATTGACAATTTGACCGGTATGTAAACAGCATCAGATCATCGACATATCATATCCGTATTATTTTGAAAAGATAGACAATGAAGGTTTTGAAGCTGAGGATGTGGCTTTATGAATACCTTGAGCAAATGTATCTAACATCAGTGATGGGGACCACACAGGCTTGAGCCTAACTAGTCAATTGAGATGAGTGAGTGAGTATGGTTTTAGGCCGCTGTTAGTAATATTCCAGCAATATCGGGGGGGGGACACCAGAAATGGGAGTCGAACCCCTTGGCTGCCACACCGCCCCCACTGGCAGTTCGGAAGATGCAGAGCCTACATCACAATATGAGGAACCTTCATGAAGCCTCACGCAACACGTTTCTCATAAATGTAATGCATCAAAAGGTTTTCCTATTTCATTAACATTGAAACGTCCTGGAACTAATTGAATCGTCAAAACAAATGCAAATCAGAATGACAATTCATCTTTTTATATATTATGTATTGATAGATTAATACGTTCGTAAAAATAAAGTAGCTTTTGAATAGGCAAATTTACTTCCAGGTGTGCATTATTTCTGCATCATATGTAACAATAAGCAAAACATCGTCCAGTCTGCATAAATGTATAAGTGTTCCTGTTGTTTTAGACTAACAACTAGTCTCTGAAATGAAAATATTTTACAGAAAAGAGCTCATAATTAAAAACATAAAATATCATGAAAAGGAGCCCTGAGACTTTCTTCTGAAGCTGTGGAAATCTAGACTTGACACATTTTCTAGACTTGCATGGGCTTTCTGGGATATATTTGCTTCAGGGTCTGTATGAGAGACTACTGTTGTTTCTCAGATGAGTGTATTTCTTTTTAAAGAGCGAAACTGTCTCTTGGTTGTGGTGGTGGTGGTGGTGGTGGTGATGGTGGTGATGATGATGATGATGATGATGATGATGATAGTTTAAATTTATGGACAAAGTAGTCTGTCCTGATTCAATTCAATGTAGTTGCTATATGGCTAAAATAACCGATTATATGCCGGGGGGATAAAAATCACCGAAACACCCCAGAGAGGTCGTGTGCGACGACATTCGACAGCCAAACGACAAGATATGATCTAAGCCCTCCCGAGAAGAATGACGATGGACATCATCCAGGTGACAGCATCAGAGTCGGCGGGACTCTTTCTGTGCGCTTGAAACTATTTCCGTGTCTTGTAGAGGGCGTGGTCAAACACGCTATTGGTGTGTGCTTCGACGTATATTGTAATACCGTGGTAAAATGTAATATACTGCGGTAAATTGTAATAGTGAGGTAATTTGTCTTAGAACTGGAGCAATTTCTGATGGGTGCTTGTATTAGCTACTACACCTCAATTCAGTGGAACCGTCATGCCAGAATCGGTTCCTGTTTGTCTTTCATAAATGTTGAGATTTTGTTGTGATCTTAATGTTTTCAACATATTTTACTTCATGCATCTCTATCGTTTGTGCTTTTTAAAGTAAATTTATTTAAAACCAGTTGTAAGGTTTCTTTGGCCGTAAGTTTAGGTGATATGTATATTATTAAGTTTGCCGATGTGGAATATGAGTGAGTTTGGATTTACGCCGCTTTGAGCAATATTCCGGCAATATCACGTGGCCATCATGTGAGGAAAGAAATACATATAAGATGCCGACGCTTCGAAATTGATCCCACTTAAGACAGTTTCCTTCAGGTTTTGAAGACAGATCTGGTTTTCGATTCCCTGCTTGAAAAAATCAAAATGACCTTTATGTCAAAGACATGTCCATTCCAGTTCTAGGTCCCCTGATTTCTGAAAAGAGCTTTTGTTTTCACCAATACTTTGCTCGGGGTAGTTAGAAGTCGTGTTCGTTCAATGTGGCCAAACACAAGTAAAACTGGATAATGTACTGGGCGCCATGAAGGCGTTCTGTTTCCCTGATTCTGAAAAAATAGCCTTTGTTGCAACCAATCGGGTACTAGAAGACCGGGCTTAGTTGTAATAATGCTGACTGTGATCTAAAACCAATATAACTGGGTAACTTACAGGGCGTCTTGAATAGTCCTAATTCCATGGTGACCCCGATTCCAATTGGTATGTCTTCGCTATAAACAATTTTCAGGCTGAAAGTTATTAAATTTCTCTGGCACATTATGTTAGCTTTATTCACCAGCACCTGTGTTTAATGCATCTTGAATATTTGATCATATATGGTCCAAAAGTGATTAATTATACTATATCAGGTAGTGGTACACCTGACATCGTCGGGACCGCCTCCGTGGTGTAGTGGTTAGAGCGTCCGCCCGGAGAGCGGAAGGTCGCGGGTTCGATCACCGACCGCGTCATACCAAAAGACGTTAAAATATGGTACTTGTTGGTCCCTGCCTGGCGCTAGGCATTAATGGGTACAACAAGGACTGGTCGGCTCGGAGTCAGTATAATGTGTCTGAGTGGGGTATTCATGCTTCACTGCGGCGTGGTATCCCAGTGGGCTAGCACTATAAAACAAGCTTGAGTCTGGGCTAGTACAAGCAGGTGCACATACACATACACACGCATGCAGGCACGTCGTCATATGAGCGAAATATTCTCAAGCACGACGTTAAACCCAATTTCACCTCACCTCACCTCACCTCACCTCACCTGACATCGTGAGTATTTACTAGTGGTTCGTAGATACATGTCCATGGCACTCTGGAAATTACACAGTCGACTCTGCTATTACCAGATATTTTGTACGAATACAGCCGCGTAGCAAAACAAATTTTTCGTGTAAACCCGATAGGTTGCAAAGCTATATATTTAGATAGTATTGGTAATTTACCTAACCTTTTTAGCAACAATCATGTGTAAGCCCGGGCTTTTTTTTATAATGCTAGCTGCGCTCCTGGAATATGGAAAATGCCCAATGTTTGTAGTCATTCGTTGGCGTCAGCTGCTAACAAACATTGTACGTTCCTACCTTCTCATATTTCGTACTCCAGGTTGCATAACATTCAACAGCCTGCGCATGTGTTATGCCCTTCCTGTACACAAGACGTGACTCCCTCTCAGCCTCGGAGTCCTCTTCGTCCCAGACGTGGACAGCACCAACGGGGATGTTATCCTCACACATGTTAGATACAACACTAGGTTCCTCTTTGTTCGTAAATTGCAGTAATCATCGACGTTAATGGAAATGAACGGCCTTTCATTGACAATAGTCCTTTACACCAAGCCATGTTCCGGATCAAGTTTCATAATTAATATTCTCGTACATGTAGTACATATACGTTTTCTGATATACACTTTGGGATGAAATGTAAATTGATTTCAGAAAAAGATGCAAATGTGCTGATTAGCTTTCTAAAAAAACTCATACAGTGCATGACCTTTGAAATTCCATTTTAGAAATGCTCTTTGGCAACCATGCTTGTCGTAAAAGACGATAACAGGATCGGAATATTGCTAAGAATGGCGTTATGCAAAAAACGATCAAATCCAATCGTTTGCTAGTATTCGACACCTCGCTTGTGGAACTTTGACCTCACAGTCTCAGTGATGGGTTCTGGAACCAGCAAGGTGTCAAGTTTCTGAAACGATCTGGCTGCATTTCTTTACACCTTCTATTTTGCTGACATAGAGCTTATGTACAGAGTATATACATGTATATGTACAGAGTATATACATGTATATGTACAGAGTATATACATGTATATGTACAGAGCTGAAACTGGTACCTATGTTATCTAGTTACATCCCGTGGTACACTGTTGAAGGGATGTTATACACTAAACGCCAAAAGAAACGTTACCCTCCTACATTTACGAATTACTTAAAAACTATCAAAGATATGTTAGAAGGTATTAGTTTACAAGAAAGCTGAACAACACAGCTTTATGCAAATCACGAATAATAGTTCTCAAATGCATTCATATTTAGGTGAAATGCATCTTTTTCAGAAGAGTTAAATTGTCCTATTTTCGTCCACGCCCAAATAAACCAATAACAGTGATTTAGATGTCCCAAAGAAAGGTTGAAATACAAATCTTGTTTGAGACAAAGATAAACCATTTAAAGTCACCACTTTTCAACTATTAAAACAAGAAACAACTGTTGTAGAGTGTGTAAAATTGTCAAATAATCATTCCTACGATTTCAGTCTTTTAAAACATTTTCTGCTGATTAGCATTAGTGAAAACAAGTAAAACGTGTCTGGGATGTTGTGAAAAAATGTTTGGGAACATCTGACATTTTCTTTGGTAACATTTTTGCTTGCAAAGTAATATTTTTCCATTTTCTGTTTACACATAGCAATATAAACCGCCAAAACGCAGCAATATTCAAGCAGTATTTGCATCAATTTCACATGTAGAATGATTCTGTAGGGTATAAAGAGATCCTAGAAGACATGATCTGATACACAAGTACGAGAAATATGCCACGATTAACAGCTGAAGAGAGAGAAAGAGCCATTGGGATGGTGCAGATGGGGTCGACATACAATGCCGTTGCCAACGCCCTCGGATGCCACCGTATCACGGTTATAAGACTTATTTAGACCGTAGACAGACCAAGAAGTGGACGTCCACGCATCACAACGCCAGCTGAAGATTGGTACCCCCGTCATTAAGGAAGGAGGGTAACGTTTCTTTTGGCGTTTAGTGTATTCTAGTCTATAAATGATTCTCGTCGTAATTTGACGTCAAAGTTGAACCCGTGCATTGTCGTTGACGTTAATGCTATAGCGGGAGTTTTCCACATTCCCTTAACTGTAGGTAATCTGTCATTCCAAGACAAAATAGAAATAACAGTACCGGACTATCCTTAACTTTTTTTAGTAGTATAGATAACAGTGGTAATGTTAACATGTCAGCTATGTAATAACTGATTAGGGATGCGTCTAATGCGATGGTTATGGTCATTGTTTTGTCGGAACTATACCGGTGCTTGTGTGTGAGTGGCCCAGTCATTGGAGAGTAAGTGGAATACTGTTCCAAGCGGCGTTTAAACCTCTAGACTTCACCAAACTGTAACTGGTTTTAATCTAGCCATTCAGGTAAACCTGTCACCACATTAAGTACAATGGTCTGGCAGTAAAGTTACTTCTTCAAATAAAATCTCACATACAGGACCAAGTTCATATTAATATCCAAACACCGGCCGACGTAGTTTGGCGTTGTTGACTTTAGAGAATGCATAGTAACATGTTTGTATTGCTGATTCTAAAAAGTGTTTAAATTCATTGATACAAATGACTATACACTATTAACCATCAGACATTCCAAATGTTATAAATAACTTAAAAACGACTGAATGTTAATTGAAAATGATCATGATATCAACAGATGCTCACTCAGTAATTTTCACCAGCATTTGTTTGCTCTGTCAAACAGCTTTTTTAATATTACTATTTACTAAATACACTCTTCTAAAAAAGAAACGCAAAGTCCGAAAATAAGGAAATGTATGAACGTATTTAAGTGTATATTGGTCGATTAAGCTTGAACATTGATGAAGGAAATTCCACACACGGATGAGCATGTGTATTGTTGTCATTGTCAGCATTAATTCAGTTCACTCACTGCGCATGTGTGGACACAAGGGGGCGTTCAGGTCAGTACCTGATGACACCATCCCTTGCATCCGTCACTGCTCAATACCGCCTTGGAAGTGGTCGGATTTTTGTTTTGGAAATTCTTTGCCATACCTCCTGCAACGCGCTGGCAAGTCCTCCAAAGTGCCTGTGGACGATGGTGACGTTTACGGACGCGTCGATCAAGATCGTCCCATAGATGCTTGATCGGATTCAGATCAGGCGATTTGGAAAGCCAGGGAAGATCACTGACGTTTGCATTGCCGCGATAGGCACTTGCCACACGAGCTGTGTCAGGTCGAGAGTTTTCGTGTTGAAAAACGGCTCTCTCTGGCGGTTAAAAAGTGGGAGGAGATGAGGTCGCAGGTTTTTGTCGATGTAGCGATTTGAACCACTACTAGCTTTGATCTACCCGTGTAAGACATGGCTCCCCACACCATGACGCTTTCTCCACCAAATCTGTCCACCTGTAGAAAGCAATTCGGCGCAAAACGTTCGTGTTGTTGTGATAGACTCGGTGTCTCCCATCCCGTCGTTCCTAATGCCTGTAACCTGTTGCACCATTGGACACCAGTTGTGCCAGGACAGGTCCAATTTTTGGTCGATATGCTCGAATTCCCACTTCGCTCATACAATTTCTGATGGTTTGGTCGGAAATTCTTCAAAGACCAGGAACCTGTCCTGCAGTGTCCGCTGCTATAGCAAACCGGTGACGGAGGTGAAATACCCGGATGAATCGGTACTGAGCAGGAGTGGCCACTCTTGGTCTTCCACTTCTGGGACGATCTTGGGTCGAATTGAAGCGTGTATAATCGAGATGTGGTGCTGTGGTGGACGTTGAAGTGTCTTGCAACTGCAGAGTGGGACTCCCCTGCTTCCTAATGCCCAAGACCGCCTCCGTGGTGTAGTGGTTAGAGCGTCCGCACGGAGAGCGGAAGGTCGCGGGTTCAATCCCCGACCGCGTCATACCAAAAGACATTAAAATATGGTACTTGTTGGTCCCTGCCTGGCGCTCGGCATTAATGGGTACAACAAGGACTGGTCGGCTCGGAGTCAGTATAATGTGTCTGAGTGGGGTATTCATGCTTCACTACGGCATGGTATCTCAGTGGGCTAGCACTATAAAACAAGCTTGAGTCTGGGTTAGTACAAGCAGCCGCACATACACACATACACACGCATGCACGTCGTCATATGAGCGAAATATTCTCAAGCACGACGTTAAGCCCAATCTTACCTCACCTCACTTCACCTCACCTCACTTAATGCCCATACTTCGGTCAGTAGTATTCAATCTTGACATTTTTCATCTTCGTCTACGTCGTAAGTTTCGTAATGAAATGGTGTATTTGGTTTGGCCTTTTATAGTCGATTTCTCTACTCATGTCCGACACATTGCAGGTGCATTACATGGAAAACAGTTTCTGCATGCACTTATCATGTATCGTTTTCGTCTTCAAACACATTCTGGGATGCGTTTGCGTGCAATACACATTAACCATGACATGATTAACGTGATTCAAACATAGGACTTGTCTTAATGACGATTGCTGTCAAAATATATCGAAATGAACTGCTGAAAACGCCATGCGTTTCTTTCTTTATTAAGAGTTTATACTGTATATATAATTTTGCTTCCACAAGAGGAATATTGTATCTGATTTATGGGAGTCGAACCCCTTGGCTTCCACACCGCCCCCACTGGCAGTTTGGAAGATGCAGAGCCTACATCACAATATGAGGAACCTTCATGAAGCCTCACGCAACACGTTTCTCATAAATGTAAATGTAATGCATCAAAAGGTTTTCCTATTTCATTAATATTGAAACGTCCTGGAACTAATTGAATCGTCAAAACAAATGCAAATCAGAATGATAATTCATCTTTTTATATATTATGTATTGATAGATTAATACGTACGTAAATATAAAGTAGCTTTTGAATAGGCAAATTTGCTTCCAGGTGTACATTATTTCTGCATCATATGTAACAATAACCAAAACATCGTCCAGTCTGCATAAATGTATAAGTGTTCCAGCTGTTTTAGACTAACAACTAGTCTCTGAAATGAAAATATTTTACAGAAAAGAGCTCATAATTAAAAACATAAAATATCATGAAAAGGAGCCCTGAGACTTTCTTCTGAAGCTGTGGAAATCTAGACTTGACACATTTTCTAGACTTGCATGGGCTTTCTGGGATATATTTGCTTCAGGGTCTGTATGAGAGACTACTGTTGTTTCTCAGATGAGTGTATTTCTTTTTAAAGAGCGAAACTGTCCCTTGGTGGTGGTGGTGATGGTGGTGATGATGATGATGATGATGATAGTTTAAATTTATGGACAAAGTAGTCTGTCCTGATTCAATTCAATGTAGTTGCTATATGGTTAAAATAACCGATTATATGCCGGGGGGATAAAAATCACCGAAACACTTCGAGAGGTCGTGCGACGACATTCGACAGCCAAACGACAAGATATGATCTAAGCCCTCCCAAGGAGAATAACGATGGACATCATCCAGGTGACAGCATCAGAGTCGGCGGGACTCTTTCTGTGCGCTTGAAACTATTTCCGTGTCTTGTAGAGGGCGTGGTC